ACACATGTTTTGCAAATTGAACAAGTATTTGACGTCCTATAGAACATCATTACATAGCTCTTAGTTAGATAGTATATATGGAGGCAAAAATGAAGATTTTTTCACTCTTGTCAATGTTATTCTAGGCTTTAGTCTTATTTTAAAACTTTTTAGTCTTTTTATCTTTGGCAATAGCCATTCTAGTTTAATATTATGTTATCTTTGAATAATTTATTAGTCTTTTTAAAAACACAAGAATTTATTGATCTTTTAGTTTTTTGAAATTCATGTCTTTGAAAATTAATGATTTTGACTATTTTTTTTTTTACAATTTTAATCTTTAAAAAAATAACAAGCATGAAAACTTTGAAAAAAATCAAACTTATCAATTAAAAAAGAGAGCTTCTAATATTCTTAGGTATTGATTGTCTTCTTTCTTAAACCTACATGTTAATCTTTTAGTAGCAATTTCTCTTTATTAAACCATTTGATTGCTATTTAAATTGAAAAAAAGTGTAAATACCTAAGTATTATATTATCACAATTTTTTTTTTCTTTTTCTTTTTTTTCTTTTTTTTTTTTTTTTCAATCAAACTAGCAAATTTTTTTAGGTAGAATATTTCACTAATCCTAAAATTCAAAAGTCTAAGATCCTAATTTAATTTTTTTCCTATATCCTTCAATCTAACCATTTGATTGAACTCAAATTTGCAATATACATTCAAAACAAGTACACTCACATATCTACAAAATTGCACTTTTTTATTTGCTATAATACTCACAAATTCTTCAAATATACATTTTTTTTTTTTTTTTTTTATTTTTTATTTCTCAAAATCTAAAATCTCTAAATACATCTCTCACTTTGAAAACCTCTCAAAAACTCAATATGCATCCAAATTTGTTTGAACTTACATTCAAATAATCTTTTTTAAGTTTGATCTTTAACCTCACTCCCAAATCTATAAAAGAAAATCCTAGAATTATCATACGTGTGCAATTTAGTGCCTTGGGATTTGATTATGACCTTTGTTCACAACTTGTCTCTTGTGGGTATTATTTCTTGGTTTTTTAAGGTAAATCTATTACAAATTACTCTTATCTTGCTTCTAAAAATGCATATATTATTAATTTTTCAAATCTACTTTGTTTTGCCTTATTTATGATCATGCAAAGTAAAAAAAAGTCTTTTTTAGAAAAAGACAAGATAACACTAAAGTTTTTACTACCTCCCAATATTTTATCTATTTTTTGCTACTATATTTTTGAATTAGGCTCTTTTATTATAGAATCCATATTTCTATCTTTCACCATATGGTCATTTATAATATGACACCATTTTTTAAAAAACATTTATTCCAAAATTGGAATATAGATAGAGATAATTTTACATGTTTTAGAAGAAAAAGAAAATATTAAAATATTAAAAATTAAATTAATATGGATTTTAGAAGATCATATATTATCCACAATTGTGACCATCATGCAATTTGCATAGGCTTGTGTTCAAATTGCTCCAATCACAATCAAAATCTAAAAAATGCCATAATAAATTCCAAAAAACATATTTTTCTAAAACAAATTAGTAAGGTTCAAACTTCATAGGATTTTCTACTTTCAAAAGAAAAAAAAATGATAAAAATATCAAAGTTTTATATTTTATGTAAAATGCCAAAAACAACTAAAAGACATTTTGGTTTGTAAGGAGCTTTAGGAATTAATTATAATACAACTTTATTGGATTCATAATCAATGAGATTTGAATCCTAATACACTTACACAAGATTCAAACTTACTTCCAATGTATTAAGAGGCTATAAGTTGTATTGATAATAATATTAAATATGTATTTAATTAGAATTTTAAATAAAATACTAAGTCAAGATCTTAATAAAAATCAATAGAAAATATATTTTAAAAAGCTATAAAAAGAATTGATGAAATACTAGCTACTAAATAAAACATCATATCAAGATAAATTGAGAGATAATTTTGTTTAATGTTGCATAAGTAAAATAATATTAGTATAATGTTACTAATCAGAACATGTAAATAGAGAAATAACATTTGATTATAAATAAAACATTGTAAAGATAATTAAGTATAAAATATAATTACATACAACAAAAAATATTTTAAATGCCAACCACATATTTTAGAAAATAAAAATATGTAAAAAAATTTAGAAAAAGGAGCTGACATCAAAAAAAAAAAATACAAAAAAGTAAATATGTTACTTCCGAAGCAAAGAAGTAGGCACAATGCTAGTATATTATTGATTTCATACGATTACTAGAGTCGGTGGGTTCCAATCGCCACAGTGGAACGTGTTTTCGAAGTTCCGCAATCAAGCTTCGGATCGCTGTGATCCGCTCACTGACCTGAGAAACCCCCAATTCCTTCGCACTGACGAGCAATTCATCGACTCATGCATCGCGATTTTCTTCGCTGTTTTCACGTCCACAATGATTTTCGCATCCTGAATCGAGACTCTGATGCCCTTCGTCCTTCAAACGGAGAAAAAAAAGAAAAAAACTTAACCGTCAAGGAAGTCGTGGAGAATTTGTGCCTCGGAGCTGTGGGAGGCGGCGGAGAGCACAACAGAGCACAGATGAATGAATCGCTGACCAAGACGCGAAGGATTTGTGCGTCATGGAGGGGGGCAACCAGCGTGCTCTGGATCCTGAAGCGAATGTTAAACTGTGGAATTGGCTTCGGAAATTCGGAGCTGGATTGCGGAGCCATGTACCATGTTTCTCATGATTTCGAGTTACTTGCAGCTTTGCTCGTTATAGCAATGTGGCTATGAAGTGGGGAGAGATTTTATCTGTCGCGGAAAGCGAAAAAACTAGTCCTGATCATTCATGAACTGTAAGCTTTCCTCGAGCGACTACCCGATTGCAGTGTGGCAATTCACCTCCAACACTCCGCATCGTCGACCCGAGTAGGTGAATGGAATCGGATGCCCTTCGGAATCGGTCCATGTGATAGCGAAAGTTCGGGAATCAAACTCGGTAGATGGATTGGACTAGTGCACCTCAGATCACCGTGCCGATCATCGTAATCTGAAACTAATTTGTGGCTAATTGATGAGACATTCCGTTGTGGAAAAGAAACGCTGCAGCTCCCGAGATTGTAGCCCGCTTTGTGATGGCGACGAATCGGGCACCGGCATTGGTGCCCGAAAACGCTGCCAGTTAACCACCAATTCCAGCCACAATTCTTTATTCACTTTTGCACGATCCTCGGCGTCGTTTCCCATCCGCTCTCCAGTGCTACTCCTGAAACTTTCCAGGTCATTAATGCGGTCCTTATCGAACTTTTCCCATTCATTGATGCTAAGTTAATGCATCCACTTTGAAACCGTATGACTAGCGCATTGCAGAGGGAAAGACACATCACCTGATTGGTTACATGAGCAGGCTAGGTAACGGATCGGATTTCTTTGATTCCACCTTAGAATTCTGAGCAATGGGCCTGTGTAGACAGCACTCTGACAAAGCGCAGCTGCTCAGCTTTTCTACTTTTCTGCGATCCCCCAAACCACTTGGAAGAACGCTCGTTTCGTGGCATTCAACTTCTCACTTGGACGATCGTCTCTGCGCAGCATCGCGCCACAAACTAACATCCCTCTTCGCGTTGATTTCGTAAAAACCGTCGACCCACAACAACAGTGCATATTCTTCTCAGACCCGGATTAAACCTTACTTGCGAGGGGACGAAAGCATCATCACCCCAGTCATGGATCCGTCTTTGCAACAGCAGTTGGGCCGAATTCAAACATGGACAAAAGCACCAGTTGTCGAATGTTGGAAAGGGAAAGCGATCCGCCGAAAAGAGGATTGAAAGAGAGAAGGAAAAAAAGCAAACTAACCCATGAAAAGCTCCAGTCTCCGACTCGTCACCAGCAGTTTCACGCAGCAAAAGAGCCTAATTTGACCCCGTCACTGACATCAAAGCGGCAATCCACAAGCACTGGCACGATCGCGGGGTCCTGTTGCGCTTTTCGCCAGCGACAGTTAACGGGCTACACCCCCTATTCTATCCATTGAAACCCCTTCTGCAGCGTCGATAGAATCCCTTTTCTCTGATTTGGAGGAGAAACTCTGCACTTCTCAAATTTTCCTCCAAATGACTCCAAGTCTCTCCGGACCACTAGTCCATCTAATACTTTCCACGGCCATGGGTGCTGCCCTCCCGACCGACGAACGTCCTCGCTTGTTTGATGGATGATATCTGTTCGTTTCCTCCGATGGATGAAGTAGTATGCTCGGTGCAAAAAAAAAATAGTTTTATCACTGTATGCATGATCATATGACATTAAAGGAAAGATTTTGAGCATAAATATTGAATTTTTTTGAAATCTTCCCTTATGAAATAACTACCTACATCTATAACTAGCAAACGTGAAAGTACACAATCATTAGTAGACGCGAGTTGTAAAAGGATATCCAGAACTTGGTGACAAAGGAAAAAAAGAAAAAAGAAATAAAAAAATGGTCTAAATAGACCCTTTGTGTTTGCTTCCCGATTGAAATGCAAAAATAAAAATCCATGTTAAACACATTGTCCGAATTTTCCGCCAATTAAAACAACAGTTCACCCTTTATTCATGGAATCATAACTGCCTCAAACCCCAAAGTTAACGCAAATCCACATTCATTCATTCGTAATTCATCCCGTTTAACTAGATGAATGAACTAACAAGGAACTGCCAAAATAGCCAGAGCGCTTCATGGTAGGCCCCACGTCATCCATCCCCCCTGGAGGAAGAAAGTGTGGCCAAATTTAGTGGGAATACAAGCCTAATTTAGAAAATCCTCTCCATATTTAGAGGTACCTTTATCTTGTCAGGATAACGCCCGCCAAAACTGGTGGGACTGGACGGGGGAGAGTTGGCTCACATTAGCCAATGGAGGCGCGCGAAGGAAGTTTCTATTTATTGAGATTCGAGGCCCTACTACCGCTGTGTGTGGACCCCGTGGCCGTGTCTGCGGAGCCCCAGTACAAAGCTCCCGTCACTTCGTCCGCTACGACCTTCGCCCTCTCCCACTCTCTCGCATCCCCCCCATCGCTACCTGCAGCGCCCGCATCTCTGGTCTCCATCTTCGCTGCCCGATACGCCGATTTCGTATCGTCGATTGATCGTGATAGCCAGATTTAGAGCTTCCAAGGTTGAGTTTAGGACAGAATTTTGGTCTAGGCTTGAGTTGGCGTTGTTGTTGCAGATGTTCAGTAAGTTGCACAAGCTGTTGTATTGTCGCGCGCCGCTTTTCCATTCCCCGTTTTTCGAAACTGCTCTTCATTTACCTTAGCAGCTGCTCGTAAAGGTCTAGGGCGATAGCATTCTCGTAATTCACTTCAAACTTTGGTGCTTTTCGTGGCCTGATTTCTGGAGCTTCAATTTACTCTCTCTTTTACTTTTGTGGTTCTGGTGTCGTGTTCCCCCGGCATTGAAGGATTTTGGTGAAGGTAGTGACTTGCGACATCTGACGGGTAAGGTGTGAGGTCCATCCTTGTAGCGCTTGAGCAGGAAGCTGCAGTCAATTGTTAAGTCGTTGTTAAGAACCACGAGCAGCTTGCAGCTTTAGGATGATTACCAGCAAGGCTATCCCGATTTGCCGAAGCCCATTCCAGGGCGAGACTTTGATGTCATCTTCACCAATGAGCGTGGGTGCTCTGAGCACGAGCCCGAGTCCGAGCTCGAGACGAAAAGCAGGCTATGGTCTCGTGACGATGGCATACTCCGGCGCTTCAGTCAGGGATCCCCATGCCACTCTGGGCATCGAGCCTGGCGCGAGTAAGCATGAGATCAAGAAAGCGTACAGACGCCTCGCGCTTCAGTACCACCCCGATGTCTGTGACGGCAACCACTGCACCACGAATTTCCAACAAATCAACTTCGCGTATGAGACCCTGCTCAGTATGACGAATCCCCAGTTCGGTGAGTTCGACGACGACTTGTCGGACAATCTGGAAGGGTTTGCCGGCGTCAGCGGGGATTCGTGGGCAGACTGGGAGGAATGGATGGGTTGGGAAGGCGCGGGTATCCGGGACTATTCGGATCACATCAACTACGCCACCTAGGCGCATGAAATCCTGCAGCACTCCGCAATTCGCATGTAATTTTACTCTGGATTATTGATGGAACCGACACTTGCAGTCACCAACGATTGACAGGCTAACGGTCCGTGTGTACATATTGGCGTTCCTTGGGGGCGTGAAGGGGAAGTGCTGCATTTAAAACATCACATTTTCTGACTGGAGATTTAAGCTTAGACACAAAAAGAAAGGAAAAAAGAAAATAAAAAAAAATAAAAAAAGAACCAGCCGACAAGGGGAAATTTTCTCAACTGATTGAAATTGTCCATCACCCCACTGTGTTGCTATAGACATCGTGGGAGGTTTTAGTTATTTAAATTCTTTTGGCTCGCGCCATGTATTGACGCTGCCGGTTGGCGGTGTAATTTTGCAATGGATAAACATTGAGGGAGGGCCAATTTCACACTTCGGAACAGTGTCTTGTGTGTATGTGTGTGTGTATATATATATATATATATATATATATTATAGATTTGGCTTTTGTTCGTGATGCTTGTGATGCAGGTCATCTATGATCTGCTACTTTTGTATTGCTCCCAAGAAAGTCTTCCAGTGGGCTCGCTCCGCCTGTTTGTCGACTTCATGGATATGCTTCAGTCAGTAACGATTACGCCCCAAGTGCGGCCTCATCCACGTCTTCCGGGACACATGCAATGCGGGCGGGATTTGTGTCTGCATTTGTGTCTGGATCCATGTCATCATATCTTCGAGCGCACCCTGCCTGCCCACATCTTTGGATAGACACGATTGACAAGCACGAGTTATTAGCTCAAGTTGTTAAGTCATACATGTGGTGCGATTTAGTGACACGCAGCCATGGGCTGCTTATTTAAGTGGTAAAGCGCCTCCAAACGACATGCACTCAGAAGCACATGAACTTGCCAGTTCCTTATTTAGCAAACTTCTCGCTTCAACAACTTCAAGCAAATCTCCGGGATAAAACTAACTTTTTTAGTTACCACCCATTTTCGCTCTCAAATGCTTGACAAGGATGGACTGCATGCGCAAGCAAGCTGTCCAAAAGAATCACATGATTTTTTCAACTTAATTACTTGATTGTTGAAACAGAATTGGTTTGCTATTTGCTGTTAGTGTAGGGAAGCTCATGAATCACTGGTGCATAGTAAAACTGTATTAGCCATTAGAGAGATGGAATTCCACATAACTTTGACACTTTATTTTTGTTTTTTAGTTTGCAGAAAATAGTAGCTCAAGTCGTTTTACTCTATTGAGTTCCATTGAGTTCTCGATTTCTTTGTTGGACTTCTCAGTGTGTTTTCTTTGAGTTCCAAGCTGATTTAGTAATTTAGTAATGATATTGTATTGTAATTAAATTGAGTATGCAGAATTGAAAAACAACGGTCTTTGTTTAAAAACTATGGTACTTTGACAAATTAAAAGTTTTTTGAAACTTTTTTATGAATTGCGAATGCTTAGAATTAAGTTCTATATATATATATATATATATAATAGATTTTTATAATATAGATTATATACTAGTTTCATAATTTTTAAATAATTGGGTACAACTACATACAATAGAAGATTATTTATTAAAGGTTGCATATGCAAAAACAACAACAACAACAAAAAAAAAACATTGATTGACATATATATACTTAAACAAATAAGTTTTTGCTAGAAAAATATATTCCAATTCCTAAATAAATCACATCTAAATTAATACACTATATTTAAATAAATCAATCAAGTGGTAAATTAAACTTGTTTATTTTTTTTAGAAAATATAAAAGATGTGTTTGTAATCAAAGAATTGCAACATAGCTCATGCATGCATATTAACTACAAAAAATAATTAGATGATGTTTTTATATAACTAAAGTAAACAACTTTGTAGATCAATAATAGAAAAAGTTATTAGATAGAAATATTTTTAGTTGTGAAAATTAATTGCTTTTTGTTTTGTTTTGTTATTATTTCAATAAAAATTACTTAATTTATCTATTTAAAAAATAGACTAAAAATGAGGAATTTATTTTTATTTAATGTTGATTTTAAATTAAAAACATGATGCTTGAAAGAAAAGAAAATCCTAAATAATTTAATAACTTAAGTTTATTCAAAACTACAATGCAAAATTTACTCTCTTCTATTTTCAGAGGTAAATCCAACAAACCATGTTGGTGCCAAGCAAGATTGTGTAAAACATAAGACATTATAGACCAACATTCAACAATTGCCTTGAATTCCAACAATGAATTCACCCAAGTGAGTTGCAAAATGCTTTTCACATTCCTTTACTTTGGACAAGATTGTGAAAATGTGCAGATAGAATGAACTAGCTTGCAACCTAGAAACTTTTTACCTTTCTACCTTTCTATCTACCGAGCGTTGCTAATAATCTCAAGAAAACTTCGGCCATACTCATGTCGCAGAAAACTTAGAAAAAAGTTGTATCGATAGTTTTTATTTTATTTTATCTTTCTTTCTTTCAAGGTGGGTTTGTGTGAGAGGGCCTTGACATGCCGTAGAATTTGTGGTAGGGAGGGTCACGGTTCAATGGGATGGGGTTGTGATTGTCGATCTTCTTCTTCACGTTCTGGAATCTGGACAAGATGAACCTCTGCTTCGGAGGTGGCGGATGCAGTTTGTTTTTCACGAACTGCTGTTGAAGCTTGGTGGCTTTGTTGTCGTTGATGATCTCCAGATGCGCCGTCGATTCCATGTACCTGTCTGGATACTTCGACTTGAAGTACTCGTTCATTTCGATCCACTCATCTTGGTAACCACCTCCTATCAAAGTGTTGAAATCCCCATCACTGCACACACGATTTCATAGTTTCATTGTTGCCTGGTTCATAACCTACTCCTAAAAAAGCCAGTTTTCTGTTAAGACCTGGGGTCTATTCTCTATGGTTGTTTCGGGCTATGAGCAGATTCTTAGAGATAATCAGAGCTCGTCGAAGGTGTGGTATCCTTTTGTTTCGTTAACAACTGTGGAACAAGATTGCATGAAAGCTCGAATGAAAGCTTACCACGGCATAGACATTTTCTCTTCTTTGTGATGAGTTAGAAGAATGACGTACAAAGGGAATGATAACCCGTATCTGTGATTTGGGTTCGCGTCGGAGGGGAGTCTCCAATTCGTGTTCTGCACAAACCACCACCCATATCACACACACTGCTGTCCATGCCAACGTAAATACAACAGTCGGCGATCAAAGACTGATTCTATCAACGAGAGCAATGCAGAAGGTGTGATGCAAGGATTCTGTTACAAGGGTGTGTTTGGGTTTGATTTTGATGGCAAACCGCTCTCGAGCAGCCCTTTGCTCGTTCGATCTACAGTAGTTGCTGCAGATTTACAGCAAAGAGAGGCATCAGTGAGATCAAACAACTGAGGGTGTTTGAATCTCTTTCGTTGGATCACGTCATTCGGAGTAATGACCACACAATTCCTGCGATTCGACTTGGCAGAAAGCAACTCACTTGATAGCAGCTAATTTGTTCATTTCCTTGAAGTCAGGGCCGTAGAGATGATCGTAAGAAGCTGGAGCTGTCTCTATGTGCACAATCACTGTCCATCCCAGGTCCAAGACGATTCTCTTTTCATATCAGTTTTAGTATATGGAACGAAAGCATCCAAGTTTCCGTGGAGTGCAGAATTTTCCTCATCAGTGAAGAAAGTATACACCATGATTCAGCGCATGCGGTGACACCGGACCTCGCAGTCATTAGCTCAGTATAGGCGACAACTCCACTCTCAAATCACTGAAGGTCATACGTCCATACCTTCTTTGACGCCGATAGCATCTCGTTCATTGGGTTTCCCATAAATGAACCTGGGGTCTCGGATTTTTTGCGTGACTCTTCTTCCCTGAACGGAACTTCCCACCAAGACAGGCGTCAGCTATCAGGATAAACCAAATGCTTACCCAATGCAACAGCAGATTTGGGGCCAATTCCACCGATGCAAGTTTCTCGACCGACCACGATGAATAACGCCGGAGAGGGTCATTCATTGCAACGGAGATTACATGGCCTATGTCGGCTTTGACGAGGTTCCAGTTCCACTTGGAGGATTTGCGCGTAACCCCACATCGGCGATTGTCCGACTCGGCATAACAATGCATGAACCCCATCCTTGCGAAACTCGAATCAACACTCGCTCTTCACCGACTTTTGCACTTCATCGCCCTTTGTAAAGCACTCGCACCTCGATGCAACTTCAAACACCAATTCATGTGACGCTTTCTTCTTTGAACATCACATGAAGATAGTTTTCTTTGTCTTTTCCCTTCTGATTGCTTGCGATGTCTGAAGAACGAACCCAACTCTCTGTTTACAAGGACAGCTCCTGGAGTGAACCCAAGAACGCTTACTCTGAAGCTTGGAGGCTTAAGAGATTTTCTCGGTCGCGTTTAAGCACCCAACCTCGACTTTTAAACGAGATGCATCATACTCATACCCTACGCAGTAAATTCATAACTTATGGAAGAAAGGAGTGAAATTCGTGTGCATCCTACGATTGACGATCTTGGTGATCAGTTGATCCGTTGACAGTTTTTGCAGTTGCCACCGAAGGCGTGTCCACCATAACAGTTCCCGTTTCGCATGAAATGCTGGCGGCGAAAGGATCTACCAATGCACAGGAATGGAGACTGGGTTTTGTTTTTGTTTTGTTTTTGTTTTTTTTTAGTCTGTTTTTTTGGTGTTTAGTGTATGATCATTGGTAAGTACTTTATTTTTATTCTGTGGAGATTATGTGTGTATGTAAATAAGAAAAGAAAAGAAAAGAAAAAACTATTGTGAGTTGGATCTTTTAGGTTTTTTCATTATTGAGTATTACTTGTGGGTTCAAATCATAAAAGTGGTCATTTTAGCATTGTTTTATATTGGTAAGCGATTGTAAATAAAGTATTGATTTTTTATATCAAGCTTTTATATTTGGATGTGAATTAAAAATTCGACTTTGTAAATTAATTGTGTTACAATCTAATTGAAATGTCTTTAAATTTGGGTGAAATTCAGGTGCATAATTACTAAATGATTAATGTATTTTTTTTTTAAAAGTCTTTCAAAAACGTAAAAACATATTTAAACTAATATATTTAAACTTTCACAATTAATATAATTTTATTTATTTTTCTGTTGGCTTTTGTTTAGCTTTTAAAATTAGTTAAAAACCTATACTAAAATTTAGGTTGAACATTAATGTATTAGTTTTGTTTTTTGAAATTGGTATCAATATTCATACACTACATTTCACACATATTTATGGGTTTAAGATATTATTTTAATATGTGACTTAATTGTGTCTAGAATTAAATACTTGATTTCAATTATTGTAATATTTTTTATAACTTTTATGTATTTCTTTTTTATTTAATGACAGTTATATGATTGTTATGAATAATTCTTGTATTCTAGTCTTAATTTAAGACTATGTAATGTCATTGTATTTGAAAGTAAAATTGTGTTTAAATATTTTTTTTTTTACTTTTTATTTTTAAATAGATTTAATTATATATTTAAATTAATTTTTAATAAAAAAGTGATTCTTTGTACAAAAAAATTTAAATAGATATTTGAAGGTTGAAAAATAAAATAAATATACTATAGTTACATAAATAAATATATATAAATATATTTCACTTGTGTTATGAGATTATGATTTTTAATTTTTTCTCATAAATATAAAATCATTGCTATACTAATTTTTTTGAAATAAAAAATATATTAAAATATAATTAATAGAAGATTAATTTGATAGCAGATAATCTACAACTGTTGTCTTAAAAATTCTTCTTTAAAGATGTTAAAAAATTATTTTTTGTATTAAGTCACATAATTTCAAATATATTCTTTTATATTTGAATAGGAATCACTAAAAATTATAATGTAATAAATATAAAAATTTTATATAAATTTGGACACATTGTTCAAATTACACTTGAAAATGAAGATAATTTATATTAATTTTTTTTGACTAAATATAATAAAAATATAATTATTTGGATATTGATGATGCATCATCTTAAAAAGGTCCAATATTATTCTTTGAAATAAATTCTTCTTTTTAAATACAACTTTACATAGGATCTCAAAATCATATAGTTTTATTTTTATTTTTGAAACATAAATATTTAACATTTATGAAGATTCCTAATTTTAATTTTTTAAATTTATTTTGTCTAAAAAAACCTATCAATAAAAAAATTATATTTTTGGTAAAAGAAATAAATCATATAAGTTGTAGATAGACAAAATTTGTCTCATAGAGGTATCATTAATAAATTTATTCTATTAGAAACTATTACATGTAATTATAACAAATGAACATCATTTAGCAAAATCAAATCTCTAAATTACTTAATTAATTTAGATTAATTTTGATTAAAAAAATCAAAACCTCAAATAGATAAAACTTCTTAAATTCTTTAATTTTTATTAAATAAAAAATATTATATCAATTTTTTTTTTTATTTGAAGTCTATATAAGACAAAGTTGTATTTGTTGGAATAATAACATTTGTGCAAGCTATAAAAGAAAGAGGTTTATGTATTCTTGAAATAATGTATAGAATTTATCTAAATAATATTTTTAATATAATAAAAATCAACATTATAAATTTGATGATAAATAAAAATCTTCTATAAAATTAATTTATTTAAAATCAAACAACCAATCTGTAAAAAATAAATCAATTCAATTTAAATTAATCTATAATGTATAGAAGATTTTATAGAAGTTAGTTGACTAAAATATTAACCATTAAATTATTTTCTCTACTATACATAATATATATGTCTTATAGCTAATAAATCAATCTTAATTCTATAAAAAAATAAATCTATAAGACATTATGTAGTATAGTATGCAACTAAAAAGAACATTAATAAAATTACACATTATAAATTATTTTAAATATTTAGTAATTAAAAAATAAAGATCACAATATATTTTAGATATCGATAATTTTATTTAAAAATAAAAAATATAGATTTATGTTATTTATTTATTTATTCAAAAAAAAATATAATTTATTCTAAAATTATTAAGGAGTATGGAAAAGTATTTTTATGGTTCATTGAAAGAACTACAACACAATAATTAATATTTTGTCATAGATATATATCTATTGTAATTTTTACCTAGATAATATGAATAGGTAGAAATAGATATAAGTAGATTAATTTCATAATATCTTCTAAATAAGCTTCCTAGAAGCTTTTTAGATGCTATTTTGACTTTATATGTGTTAGTAGTTGATTGGTAGATTAGAAACTTAATAAATAAGCTAGCCACATACCACATGTATTGGTAGCTTACGGAATAAGTTAATTACATGGCATCCATATAGAAAACTTGCCTTGCAAGTTAAGATACGTGTTATACAAAGTCAATATATTTTTGGAGGTCCTATAGAACATCACCATATTAATCCTAGGTAGATAGTATATAGAGAAGCAAGAGTGAAGTCTTCTTCACTCTTGTCAATTCCTTTCTTGTTTCTAGTTTAGTTTTAAGAGTCTCTAGTTTTCATGCCTTTTGGCAATAGTCATTCCAATTTTCCTTTTAATATACATATATTTCTATTTTTATTTTTTAAAAAAGTCTCACTTATTTATTTACTTTCATCAAGTTCTTGTCCTTGATAGATTGACAAGAGTGTACTTACAATATTAGAGTTTTGTCTTTTCTTGATTAAGAATGGATTACTCCTTTTTCTTGATAAAACATAAGCATATTAGAAGTTACAGATTACCTTCTTCTAAATTAATATTATTCTTAATATTTTTTTTGTTCTCAAGTCCTCTCTTCTGCTTGTCTTGAGTGATATTAGACATTTTTTTTTTTCTAAGTGATTATCATGGCAAAGCTTTTTGAAATGAAGAATGCAATGGTAGAAATGCAAGAACAATTGAGGGAGTTAATACTTATGATGTAATTTGTATTACAAATAATAAGATTTGTATCTTGTAATAAGACAATTGATCAGTGACATTATACACTTCAAAATTTTGATAACTAACGATTAATGTCAAGTGGGATGATGTTGCATGTATCAGCCAATTTTTCTATGGATTACAATATGAGCTAAAGAAATTAATGTTCAACTTATCTGATCTTTAGACATTGAGTCAAGCAATTGATTATGCTATGAAGTATGACAATTGACTTTTTAAATTTTAATTTGAAAATCATACAAAAGAACCTCTACATTATTAAAATTCAATGATAATACTAACAACCTCTCAATTTTAATATTTGGAAGTAGAAGACATGCAAATTAATATCACACATTTCAAACGTCTTATTGAATTAAAAAAAAACTTGTTGTCATAAAGAAGGACTATATTTATATTATAGAAAAGCTAAGCACACTACTTAACATTGTCCAAAGAAACAATGTAACTACAAAATAAGGAGTACAACTATTAAAGATGAAAAAAATATCCAAAAATAAATCAGCTACAATAGGAATCATGTAGATGGAATCTTGTACAAATGAAGGTCCTATCTTTTTCTTAGAATCCTCTCCTTATTTTATAATAGATAGATATTTAGGACCTAATAATTATAAAGCCTCTACCTTGATAGATTTAGGAGCCTCAACTTGTTTCTTAGATAAAGAATTTGTTAAAAGCCATAGTATATTGGTAATATAAAAAACTAAAACCTATACATGTAGAAGTCATAGATGGCAGTCCATTATTTTTTGGAGATATTATTCATAAAATACTTCCTATAGATGTAACAATAAATGGTCATAATAATTTTGTAATTTTTAATGTAATTAGATCTCTCTAATTTTGTTGTTTTAAGTTTATCCTAGCTAAAATAGTATAATCTTCTAATAGATTAGCTTTCTAGTAAGCTTGACTTTTTTCAAAGCATTATTAAGAGTTTTATAGAAAGCTATAAGTCTAATGTAGCCAAATCCATACTCGTAAGCACAAAAACTTTCTTTCATGCTACAAAAGAAGAATTTTCTTTTATTATTTATGCCACATCCATTTTTAATGATGAGAAGACCTCATGTGGCATTCCAAGTTAATATTAAGATTTTAAAGATATTTTTGAGAAAAAAAATACAGATATTTTCTTAGAGCATCATCCATATGATTTATCAATCAACCTTAAAGAAAGAAATTAACCACTATTTGGTCCAATCTACAATTTATCACAAAATAAGTTGGCTGAACTCAAGAAGTACATTGACAAGAATTGAGCCAAAAATTTCATATGCCATTCAAAATCTTGTATAAGAACTATCTTATTTGTAAAGAAAAAATATGGATCAATGTAAATGTGTATATATTATCAAAGACTCAATAATATTACTATTAAGAATAGGTAATCTTTATCCTTGATATTTGGACTTTTTGATCAACAAAATCAAGCTAAGATTTATATAAAAATAGATCTACGAGGAGCATATAATTTGATCCAAATTAAAGAAGGAGATAAATAAAAAATTACATTTCAAATAAGGTATAGGCACTTTGAATATAATATCATGCCTTTTGGATTTATGAATGTACTATCTGATTTTCAACATCTTATGAATGATATTTTTTGTGAATTTCTAGATGATTTTATTGTCTATTACTTAAATAATATTTTAATCTATTCTAAGAACATA